AATAAATATATTTATTTAAAAAAAAAATCGATGTTTTTGTGCAGAATTACACACAACAATAAAAATAATATAGACATGTTTTTACGGCAAAATATTCCAAACAGCGGCACGAGCTGTTTTTTTCTATTTTTAAATATTTTTTCAGGACATTTTTTATTTATTACGGAGTCCACGCACTAAGAAATTAGAAAAAAATTCGAAGAAGCCCTCCAGATATATAAAAACATAATGAAAACTCTTTTAACACACCCTTCTATATATTTATACTCGTTCCGGGCGCAGAAAGTGAGTTTTAAGGTGTTTTAAATGGACWTGTTGCTGTAGGAAGTTGAAACAATGCAGCACGTGCTCACAGTTTGCGTCTCCTCAAAATGAAACTCTTTGACACACGCAAAGGTGGTCAGTTTGCATGTCAWTTAAAACACTTATAACAGTCACCTGTGTTGATTTAGTTTTGCTTTTTGCTCGTTTTAGGAGCAATTTTAAGATTTTTTTTTATTATTATTTTTGCACATTAAAGGGAACTAGTTCTTGGCGAACGTCTCTGTGCGCGAGAGTTTTCTGCAGCATAAAAAGGGGAGACGAAATGTGACTAATTTTAATCTTTTTTATTATTATAATTGTGTGCGGTAGGAGGACATGAGTTGCAATGCGTAACAGGAGGAGGAGTGGAAGCTGGGACGCAGCGGAGGGTCGTTTTTTTTTCTCTTTTTTCTCCCCGATAGTCGGAATAAAACATGACAGTCGTGTTTATGCCTACTAAGGTGGTCTTTTCTTCCATCTGTGTCTCCCTGTCATCCAGGCATTGCACGTGCCGACGTCTTTCTGTGAACATGTCTTTGTGAGAAACTCTTGGCTCGTCACCTTCGCCGGGATTCCCCGTAATATTTTCAACAAGAGACACGCAAGGAGGAGGGAAGAGGAGAGAGAGAGAGAGGAAAAAAAAAAAAAAAAGAAATAAGAAAATTGGGCCAAAATGGACAAAGAAAGTATTGGTACTCAATATGAGCCCGTGGCTGAGATTGGAGAAGGGGCTTACGGGAAAGTGTACAAGGCCAGAGACTTGAAGAACGGGGGKCGCTTTGTAGCCCTGAAAAGAGTTCGGGTCCAGACGGAGGAAGAGGGGATGCCTCTCTCCACCATCCGGGAGGTGGCGGTACTGAGGCAGCTGGAGGCCTTTGAGCACCCCAATGTTGTCAGGTGAGTGCAGGGGCAGAGGTGGGGAGCCTGTGTGTGTTAATGAGATGAGTTGGTGTGTGTGTTTAGAATAATAAGACACAACACATTTGCTTCTTGATGGTCTCTGGTGACATTTGATTCGTTTGACCTTTGTGGCTTGCCTGCACTGTAACTTGCAACAAAATACAAATGAAGGTAAGGATTGAACAGTACATGACGCACACCTGCATCTTTTTTGTCACAAGGTTTCTCTTTTAATTGTGTTTTTTTAAAATGTCATCTCGTGCACATTTCTCCTATGCAACGTTGACTTTGCTCTATTTACGATCACTGGGACAGGTGAGTTTACGCAGTGATCAAAAGTTCCACATTGAGGGTATAGTATTAATAAAAGAAAAGAAGAATTTTAGTATAAACTCTTGCTTTATCAGCTCAACTTTCATGACAATCAGTTGACTTGAAAGTAGGTTCTGAAGCAGGTCATAGGAGACGTTTGCATACATGTTATTCCTCTAAAATCACCATAACTTCCAGTTTTAACAAAATTTAAATATTTTTTCTTCATTTTTAACTGCAATCAGTAACATAAGTTTTAATACAGTTTGGGAACTTTTTTGTAGCATTGCTGCAGTGTGGTGCAAACTGGTGTCCTGTCCTGGTACTTTAGCGACTATCCAGCATTGCTTTAGACCAGTGGTTCCCAAACTTTTTGTCTTCTGACCCACAAAATATCCATGGCAAAAACTTGTGACCCCAAATATTACTGGTCTGAGTACATGAACTTCGTTAATAACCCTAAAAACACAGGCTTTTTGACAATCTAAACAGCTTGTACACAAATATAAATGTTTTATTTATTTTGTGTTTTTGTAATAATTATAAGGAAACTATTACATCAGAAATTACTTTATTACCCTTTAAATTGATTTCTGGAGATTATCCAAGGTGCTTAATGACCCATAATTGGGTCCCAAGCCCAACTCTGGGAACCAAAGTGCAGTGGTTCCCAAACGTTTCAGCTTTTGACCCACAAAATAACAGTAGCAGAGACCTGTGCCCCCAACTATGTTTGGATGATAAACATTTGTATCAGGTCAACAAAACATGGGCATAGTAACAATATTTTTATACTACATTTATCCATTTTAAATACACTAACC